AGCTGCTCTTTGAAATCTTCTGTTCAGCTCTTTTATCTTGTCATTTCTTCCATTTGCTTTAGCTACTCTTCACTCAAGGGCAAGTTTCAGAGTCTCTTCTGACATCCATTTTGGTTTTTACTTTCTTATCTTTTTAATGACCTCTTGCTTTCTTCATATGGATGATGCTCTTGATGCCATCCCACAATTCTTCTGGTTTTCAGTCATTGGTGTTCAATCCATCAAATATATTCTTTAAATGGTCTCTAAATTCAAGAGGGATATATTCAAGGTCATATTTTGGCTCTTGTGGACTTGTTTTAATTGTCTTCCAGTTGAACTTGCATATGAGCAGTTGATGGTCTGTTTCACAATCAGCTCCTGGCCTGGTTTTGGCTGAAGATATTGAGCTTCTCCATCGCCTCTTGCCACAGATGTAGTCAGTCTGATTCCTGTGTATTTCATCTGGTGACGTCCACACGTATAGCCACCGTTTGTGTTGTTGAAAAAAGGTATTTGCAATGAATAAGTTGTTGGTCTTGCAAAATTCTATCATGTGATCTCCAGCAGTATTTCTGTCACCACAGCCAAATTTTCCAACTACCAATGAGTCTTCTTTGTTTCCAACTTTTTCATTCCAATCACTAGTGATAAGCAACACATCTTAATTGCATGTTCCATCAATTTCAGACTGCAGAAGTTGATAAAAATCTTCAATTTCCTCATCTTTTGCTTTGGTGGTTGGTGCATAAGTTTGAATAATAGTCGTATTAACTGGTCTTCCTTGTAGGTGTATGGCTATTATCCTATCACTGACACCATTTCCTGGCTCTAGGGGGCTCACGCCCCCTAGAGCCAGGAAAGGGAGGGACCAGGAGCAGCATCAGGGACCTCAGGAGGGCAGGATATCCAGGTAAAAAGGGGAGGGAGGCAAGGCTATGCTCCATCCCCCTACAGCCAGGAAAGGGAGGGACCAGGAGTGGCCAGGGACCACAGAGTAGCATGTTTCAGGTAGGAATTAGGTAAGATGAGGGTGCAGAGGTTTCCAACAGCTAAGGGAGACAAACTTGTCTGTCAGTTTGTCATCCTGTGAGGCTTGTACATTGCTGTGAGGCTTGAGGCTGTGCGACTGGTGTTTCAGGTGCCAGCAGAGTTTCACATGGTGCACAGGTTTCAACGCAGCTTATAGACTTAAGACAGACTAGGAAGGAGGAGGCCATCCACTTCTCAAAAATTGGCCAGGGAAAACCTTATGACTAACAGAGAAACTGTCTGACATTACTGGGCAACTTTATGAATAGCTTGGAAACACTGTCTGACACAGTGCAGGAAGACTAGCCCCTTGGGTTGGAAAGCACTCAAAATAGGACTGGGAAAGAGCTGCCTCATTAGAGTAGAATCAACCTTAATGATATGAAAAAAGTAAGTCTTTCAGGACCTCCATGTGCTGACATGGCACAACTGAAATTGAGGAGAAACAGCTGCAAATATCCATTAATAACTGGAACATGGAATGTACGAATTATGAATCTAGGAAAATTGGAAGTTGTCAAAAATGAAATGGAACACATAAAGATTGATATCCTAGGCATTAGTGAGCTGAAATGGACTGGTTTTGGCCATTTTGAATCAGACAACCTTATGATCTACTATCCTGGGAATGACAAATTAAAGAGGAATGGCACGGTATTCATCATCACAAAAGGTATTTCAAGATCTGTTATTTGGGGATGGAGAAGAGGTAATTTGAGTAGGTGAGAGTATGGCTGGGTGATGCAAACAATTAATATGCTCGGCTCCTAATCAAAAGGTTGAAGGTGCAAATCTATCCAGAGGCACCTCAGAAGAAAGGCTTGGCAATCTATTTCCCAAAAGTCAGCCACTGAAAACCCTACAGAACCCGATTTTGCTCTGACACACATGGGATCACCATGAGTCAGAGTCAACTAGATGGCAACCAGAGGAGCTTTTAAAGACAACCCACACATCAGAGCTTCATCCCAGACTCACAAAACCAGAACTATCAAAATGATTCTAACATGCCTCCATGAAAAATCTGCAAAGCCCCCTCTGAAAGGGATTACCTCAATGAGAATCTGCAAGGAGCAATTCGGGTGGACAGATTTACCAAACTCCCTATGATGGTCCAACACATTTCCTATGCTCAAAGGTTACCTTTCCCAGCACATCCCCAGGAAGTAGAAAAACGTTCCTGAAGTCCATCTCCTAGCTGCCTTCTATCTTTTCAGCAGTCCCTCTGGAAGTCACTGAGACAGCAGGAAGCAAAGAGAGAGAGAATGTTTGTGTGCACAAGAGAAATAAATGTTCAACTGCATAAATCTGATCAATAAGATCTGTGACACAACACACCTGTTTCCTGGCAAGGGAACATCTTTTGCTTTTATATCTACCTCTCCCCCATGCTGAGTCAGGCAAACGGTTCCCTGTTTAATAGAAAAATTCCCCTTCAATCTCTGAGGGCAATCAGAACTTCACCCATGTCCTTTTCTATGGCTCCTAAAACTTAAATGCATGTCTCTGCTATGGCAAGGTGGGACATGACATACTGGCCCCCCAAATATGAACCATTTGAGTGCTGTCTAAAGACAGCTCTGTTTCTGTTATCTTTTAATGGATTTGGGGAAAAGAGAGCTGATGGAGATAAAGTGGCTGTAAAACTTAGCGCTTCAGCTTTGGATGCTCAATAGCCCCAGCTGGCTAAAAATAGACTCAACTGCATCAATAATTTTTCTCTTTGAAGCTGCAGGTCCTTTTGGTGTTTGTGAACATTCAGAGAGGACAGAAGGGCAGAATGATACAGAAACAGCCAAAGCTACACTCTAAGAACCCAGGTTGGGGCCTCCGTGACAGCCATGTTGGATGCCTGTTTTCTAGACATCCCTGTGCCTATTTCCCGCAAAAACCTCTTCTAAGAATGATGAGGATGCATCCTTTCTGACAGGGGTCCCAAGTTCATGCTCAACACCACTGCAACTACCTATCTGAGATTGATACAGCTCAGAATCCTAGCTTTTTGTTTGAAGCTAAATATTCAAAGGCCTTTAGAATCCCCAAATTCCAGAGCGCAAATGCTTCACTGCAGAGATGCAGTGTATCGGGGTTGGGTCAGGCAAGCTGTAAGGTTTCCTCTCACTCTTCCGTGGGAAAATGGATGTGACCTAGTCAAAGTCATACAGTGTGTTAGATATGGAGCAAGGGGAGGGGCGTAGCATGGGCCAGTGTAATAGTGGGATCTAGGTGAATGGGCTTGGGCTCTGGCTGATCTAGATTCCTACTCCAGTCTTGCCATTGACCAGTTGCGTGACCTTGACCTTGATTAGAGTTACAGTGTTCTCTACTTCATAGGGCAATGTTGAGGATCACTGAATTGTACACAAAGTGGCTGATACACAGTAGATATTCTGCAAATAACAGTGAATTTACAACATAGATATCCTGACTCCCAGGCCCGTGTTCCTTTGAGAGTACACTATGGAAAGCAGAGCGTTCTTATGAAAACTTTCATAAGCTGAAATGGCATAAAGCATAGAAGCAATTACCTTTAATTCACCAAAAAAATCAAACTCACTGCCACTGAGAAAATTCCAACTCATTGGGACCCCCACTGGGTTTTCAAGGCTGCAGATCTTTATGGAAGCAGACTGCCTCATCTTTCCTCTGTGGACTGGCTGGTGGGTTTGAATCATTTTGGTCAGCAGCCAAATGCCTTGATCACTTCACCACCAGAGCTCCTTAACATTAATAAAACTAACCTCACTGCTGTTGAGTAGGTTTCAACTCAGCAACCCTTCCTTGGGTTTCCGAGGCAGTATCTCTACAGAATTAGATTGCCCAATCTTCCTTCCAAGGAGTGGCTGATGGATTTGAACCACCAGCCTTTAGGTTAGCAGTCAAACGCCTTAGGCATTATGCCACCAGAGATCCCCCTTACCATTAATTTATATGAGAAAAATATTTGAGCATTCCAAGATCCAAAAAATAATCTACCAATAACACATAAAACCTAGAACAATACCAACATATAGCATTTGCAGACACAGTTCAAAGCTATGGAGGCTTGATGCTGAGTGTAGGTCCTGGGGAAGGAGCTTGGCAAGGTCACTGGGGGTGAGTGCTGCATCTTCAACAGCTCACCACAAAAGCAACCCTGAATGCTAGTTTTCCTTTTCATCTTTTTTCATAAAAGTGAAAATCCTCTTTCATTTAGTGAGAACAGGTTCTAACGTAAGTCTTTCATGAAAGCTAAGTGGTGTAAGACTTTTCAAAGCAGAGGATACCTGTACCACCATCTGAAAACCTTGAGCCATTCCAATGAGCCCACTTGGGCTAAGGGTTACATCTCCCTTATATCCTCAAAAATACAGACCAGCATTCCCCAGGCCTCATTGAAGACATCAGTGGAACCATGACAGCAAGGAGAGGAAGCTGCATTCATGTTGTTCACCCAACTCTGACCAAGACACCTGGCCTCCCTATTCCTTTACAATCATTTCTGTTCTGGTTAGTGGTTCTTGTTCAGGGTGAACCCTACTCTGTATTCAATGTGACCTCTGGTTACAACTGTGTCCAGAACTCCCTCTGTCACTGTCCACTCCTTGCTTAGTTCTCCAGGTCAGCACATGCATCTTCCCTCTGACCTTATGGCACCCTAGTCTGTTTCAATGACAGCCCACAGACAAGTCACAGGCTAGAGCCCCACAGGTCAAATTCAGCTCACAGATGCCCATTTTTTGACCCATCCAGTGATTTTAATTTTTAAAATTAGA